ACAATAAAAAAACTATTAAACTGTAGCAACCTTTTTCTAAATGATTCAAGACTTCATTTGAGCTATGCAAATTAATATTGCTGATATTTAAATATGATCTCTTTCATTATACATTCGGGCAAAATTTTTTTAGAGTAAAGGTGATAAGTCATAGAATTTTTTTCTTTCTTTTTTTTTTTTAAATTAAAAATAGAGATGCGGTCTCCTTGGTCTCAAACTCCTGAGCTCCAGCAATCCTTCTACCTTGGCATCCCAAAGTGTTGGGATTAAAGGTATGAGCCACTACACCCAGCCCATACACTTTTCATTTACTATATAAAGTCTTTTTCTCCTACAAAATATCCATTCTCCTTCCCCAAAATAAACAAGGCACCTTAAAGGCAATCTTTGTAATCCATAGTCAAATAAAAGTTTTTATTCACTTAAGCAGGAGGGAATGAGTTCAGTACATTAATTAGTCTGCCCTGCTATAAGACTTGCCTCCTCCAAAACAGAATTCCAGGAAGGAAAATAAGTTATCCATGCCGATTCTACCTTGCTAACAAATTGGGGGAGTAACCACTCTAATAGTGGTTTAACTGGTAGAAAATGAAAGAGCTCTCAGTCTCAAACCAAATGGTGATTACGTAAAAAATCTGGCATTGTCAAATCAGGCAGATACAATCTAAAGTAAAAAAGAGTCAGGTGTGGTGGCTCACGCCTGTAATCCCAGCACTTTCAGAGGCCAAGGCGCGAAGATCACCTAAGGTCAGGAGTTTTGAGATCAGCCTGGCCAACATGGCAAAACCCCATCTCTACCAAAAATACAAAAATAAGCCAGGCGTAGTCGTGCAGATCTGTAGTCCCAGCTGCTTGGGAGGCTGAGGCAGGAGAATCGCTTGAACCCAGGAGGCGGAGGTTGCAGTGAGCCGAGATTGCACCATTGCACTCCACCTTGGGCGACAGAGCGAGACTCCGTCTCAAAAAAATAACAATAATAATAAAGTAAAAAGAACATGGTCTGCAACAGGTGTTTTTTGTTTTGTTTTTGTTTGTTTGTCTGTTGTTGAGATGCAGTCTTGCTCTGTCACCCAGGCTGAAGTGCAGTGGCGCAATGTCAGCTCACTGCAACCTCCGCCTCCCGGGCTCAAGCGATTCTCCTGCCTCAGCTTCCCTAGTAGCTGGGATTACAGTTGTGTGCCACCACGCCTGGCTGTTTTAGTAGAGGCGGGGTTTCACCATGTTGGCCAGGCTGGTCTCAAACTCCTGACCTCAAGTGATCCGCCCACCTCGGCATCCCAAAGTGTGGGGATTACAGGCGTAAGCCACATGCCCAGCCTGCAATAGGTATTCAAAATCCTCCCTAAGAGAAAATAATTGTGCCTTGCTGTCTACCAAAGGCATTGGTTAAAAAAAAGTCTCAGCAGTTACAATGTACAGTATCCCCTTCCCTTCTGTAAACAAAATGCTTCTTATTAGATATACGAATGCTAGTTATCAGATTATTTTAAAAGTTTATTTTCTTTCTCTAATAATAAGGTAAAATACATTTTGGAAATCTGCATGGAATGTCTCCAACAAGTTATTTCTTTCATTTTAGCAGGGTCTGTGGTATGCAGCTTTAGTCATTCTTTCAATTTCTTGGGAGCACAGGATTCTCCAAAATACAAAAATAAAATTTTCAGCTTTTACATCAAATAATGGTCTCAACCATTTAATACAAAGCAACATACTTTCTCAGGTTTCTGTTAATAAGGCAAAATAAAAGTCACTCAGAAAAAAAAGGTTAAATGACTAAGATTTCTCTTTTGTAGGATATAATTCACCCTTATGGTTTCTCTTCTACCATTAAAGTCTTTTCTACTCTAATTCCTTCAAAGTTTCAAGTTCAATACAGTACAACGTATGCAGAGATTTTATAGTTTTTATCATAGTTTTTTTTTTCAACATTGTTTTCAGGATGCTTTAAACACTTTTACAACTATTACCTCAGATTTGTGATTATGACTCATAGCACAGTCCACTTTCAAAACCATGATTTTTGGATTATGGCCCATCCAAGATTTTACTCTGCTCAGAAAAAAAAAAAAAAAAAAATTACATATCCAGAGTTTCACAAGCAATTCAGGGGTTTTTCCCACAGACACCTAGATTAAAAAGACCTTGCAATAAAGGGGTGAAATCCAACAATTACTTTAGATTTCAAAGGTTTAATATTTTAAAAAATTGAGAAACCTAAGGTGTTGAATAAACTTTTTAATGACTTCTCAAGCAAAATTAAAATATTTATCAAGCGCAGGGCACAGTGGCTTACACCTGCAATCCCAGCATTTTGAGAGGTCAAAGCAGGAAGATTGCTTGAAGCTATGAGTTTGGGACTAGCCTGGAAAATACAGCGGACCCCACCTCTATAAAAAATTATTATTTTATTAGCTGGGCATAGTGGTGTGTGCCTATAGTCCTAGCTACCAGAGAGGCTGAGGTGGAAAGATCCTTTTTTGTTGTTGAGACAGGGTCTCACTCTGTCACCCAGACAGGAGTACAGTAGCACAATCACTGCTCACTGAAGCCTTGACCTCCTGGGTTCAAGCAACCCTCCCACCTCAGCTTCCAAGTAGCTGGGACTACTGCTGTGTACCACCATGCCTGGATAATTAAAAAAAAAAAAAAAAACGTTGTAAAGATGTGTTCTTACTATATTGCCCAGGTTGGTCTTGAACTCTTGACCTCAAGTGATCCTCCTGCCTCGGCCTCCTAAAGTGTTGTGATTACAGGCATGAGCCACAGCACCCAGCCTAAGGAAGATCCCTTGAGCCTAGGAGTTTGAGGTGACAGTAAGCTATGATTGCATCACTGTACTCCAGCTTGGACAAAAGTGAGACCATGTCTCTAAAAATAGTAATAATAATAATAATAAAATAAAATAAAGTATTTACAATGGAAGGAGTCTGTGGTGTTATTTTTAGGTAATCTCAGAAGAACTTTTCAAACTCAGATGTATATATGTGGCAACCAATATGCATATGGAGATACTGACAGAGAAAGAAAAATGTTCAATCTAATATTAGCCAGTAAACATATGATGCATTAACTGCAGGAGTTAGAAGTCCATACTTGAAGGTAGTATTTATCAGGATCAATCAATCAAGAAAAATACTCACACATAAAAACAGGGTATTTTTTAGTACTACTGATTTACAATAAACAGATCCTCAGATTTAGGTAGATCATTTTTACATGCTATTAGTGATCAATGTATGCAACACAGTTGTACATAGCTATTAAATTATTTTGGCATGCATTACAAACATGTATTCAAATTACCAATAACTATAATTTTTTGTGTTTATTTCTAGGGCAACTTAATTAATGGCTTTCACCTTAAAGGCTTAAAATGTTTTAAAACTTCAAGTCATTAAAGATGTACTGACATTAAAATTATGTTTGAAGTCTGAGTGCAGTGGCTCATGCCTGTAATCCCAGGCTGAGGCAGGTGGATCACTTGAGGTCAGGAGTTCAAGTGACTGAGGTCAGGAGTTCAGACTGGCCAACGTGGTGAAACACTTGAGGTCAGGAGTTCAGACTAGCCAACGTGGTGAAACTCCATCTCTACTAAAAATACAAAAATTAGCCAGGTGTGGCGATGTCTGCCTGTAGTCCCAGATACTCAGGAGGCTGAGGCAGGAGAATTGCCTGAACCCAGGAGGCGGAGGTTGCAGTGAGCCAAGATTGCACCACTGCACTCCAGCTTGGACAACAGAGCGAGACTGTTTCAATTAAAAAAGAAAAAACAAACAAACAACAACAACAAAAAACTATGTTTGAAAGTATGTATAATTTGTAATAATATAAATGGGAAGAAATAAAAGGTTATTATGGCAATCTGAGTTTCTTAATCCAAAAACTAAAAATCAAAACGCATTTCATATGTAAGAGTTAAGTGGGTTTTTTCTTTATTAATACATGATAATGGACAACCATGTGACAAAGTACTGCAGTGTATGGTTTGGTGGTGTCTCGTTGCCTCTAGGATGGGATTTTTTCCAGGTGATTCTTCAGGATCTGGCATCGATGCCCAACACAGACTTTCCAATGGCAATGCATGAGTTTTAGAGGTCACTGCCTCATCTTTCTTCAGGTGCTGTGTGCCATTTTCTCCCACCCATTTTATCCTCCATTACTTATAAAAACCCCACTCTAAAATTCAACCTATGTTATAAAATTAACATAATCAGGAGTTAGTACACATTGTTCCACAATGATAAAATTAAGACTCATAATGTACTATCTTGTTTCCTCTAACTTTTGAAGGATTTATATAATCTTAAAGAGTCAGAGTAATACATAACACAAAACATGCAAAGAACCTTATCACTCGGTGTATATAATATGCTGGGAATTACTAAAGTACTCAAAAGCTTAATTTTCTTGGAATAGCAACTGTCCACTGAAAATTACAGTATTCAAACAAAAGGTTATGTGTTAATAAATGAAAATACAGTACCTGATTTGGCATAAATTGTGAGATCTTTTTCACTAGTAAAGTGCTTAATTAAGAAACATTTTTCCACTATTAATTTGTCAAAGGCACAAAATATCTTTGTGTCTCTCTTTAAAGTATTAGTTTTTTAGGCCGGGCGCGGTGGCTCAAGTCTGTAATCCCAGCACTTTGGGAGGCCGAGACGGGCGGATCACGAGGTCAGGAGATTGAGACCATCCTGGCTGACACGGTGAAACCCCGTCTCTACTAAAAAATACAAAAAACTAGCCGGGCGAGGTGGCGGGCGCCTGTAGTCCCAGCTACTCAGGAGGCTGAGGCAGGAGAATGGCATGAACCCGGGAGGCGGAGCTTGCAGTGAGCTGAGATCCGGCCACTGCACTCCAGCCTGGGCGGCAGAGCGAGACTCCGTCTCAAAAAAAAAAAAAAAGTATTAGTTTTTTAAATTATGGTACTGTCCATTTAAATTTTACTTAATCAGAAAGCTTTACTGTTTTTTTTTCTCAGCAATTAAAAAAACTACTTGAAGAATAACATTTAATTTTTATTTTCAAAATGTTGCTATAAACATACATACAACACTGAATTTGATCCCCTCCATTGGCTGTCTGTGTGCCATGAAGCACTTGTGACAGAAAACATATGTAAGCTTAGGGTAAAAGTTTATAAGGAATCAAAATATCTTCCAAAAAGAGGCGGTAGGGACAAGAGTAATCAATAAGTTTAAAAATCATAACTTTCATTTTATAAAAAATAGTTTGAATAATTTTCTTATAAATCTTTAATGCTTACAAAAGCAGGAAATACATTTAAAATAGTCTTTTTAACACAGATTCATTTGTACAATATGGTCATAAGAAAAATAACTAAAATGACATTTCAGTAGTCTATATTCTCTTCTCAGCAAATTCCACATAAAATTTAACTAATTTACAATTCAAAATAAGATTTTAACTGCCAACAATGTCAGACTAGTTGTGGTTAGTACCTGAATATCAAGTTCTTCTCCATTTTATATATTGTACCACAATTTTAAATACAGATCCAGCAGTGATAGGTACTAATAACTATACTTAACTACATGGTTACCACCCATGACTACTGCATTGCAGCTTAAAACATGCTTTGGTCAGTAAATTTAAAAGATATAAATCAAATAACGAGGCCAGAAAAGTTGTTTTAGAATTTCCTGACCTTAAGCAAACTTTAAATACATCGACAAGACAAAGAAAAATATGATCAAATATACAGAGAGGTTTCTATTTTTTCAACCATTTGGCATTTTATATTATTAATTTTGTTGTTTAAAATAATATTTTATATTCCTGTGCACTGATTATCATTGCTCTCCGAATTAAAACTAAACTACAATTACCTTTCTAGAATGTCCAGTAATGTATATATTAATTGTTCCTTTTGCATTTCCATGAAGTTGATCCTTCATCCTGTAACTTTTTAAATTTTGGACCAAGAAAGAACCACCAACCAAATCCAATGAAAACACAAATAATGGACTCCACATAATAACCATCCAGGGCTGTAACACATGAGCCACCCAGTTTTTTGCAAAGCTGTAAAAATAAAACTATAATAAATAATCTACAATTTCAAAATGGAAGTATTTAGCAATTAACATGCTTCTACTTTATAAATAATTAATCAAAATATATTTTTCCTAAAACATTTCAGTATTTCACTGAATTCCAATGACAAAATATGTTACTGTATCTTAATCTCTCTAATGCTACTAACAGGATTAAAAACAATTTTCAGTTCTTGCTGTAAACAATACTCATTTTCTTTTTTCAGGCAGAGTCTCACTTGTTGCCCTAGCTGGAATGCAGTGGTGTGATAATGGCTCACTGCAATCTCTGGCTCCTGGGTTCAAGCAATCCTCCCACCTCAGCCTTCTGAGTAGCTAAGACCATAGGCATGCACCACCATGTCCCGTTAATTTCTATATTTTTTGTAGAGATGGTGTTTCACCATGTTGCCCAGGGTGGTCTTGAACTCCTGGGCTCAAGCAATCTGCCTGCTTCAGCCTCTCAAAATGCTGGAATTACAGGTGTGAGCCACCACACCCAGCTAAATATCTATTTTCTTTTTTTTTTTTTTTTTTTTTTTTAGAGACGGAGTCTCGTTCTGTCGCCCAGGCTGGAGTACAGTGGTGCGATCTCAGCTCACTGCAACCTCCGCCTCCCAGTTTTGCAATTCTCCTGCCTCAGCCTCCTGAGTAGCTGGGACTACAGGCACACACTGCCACGCCTGGCTAATTTTTTGTATTTTAGTAGAGATGGGGTTTCACCGTGTTGCCCAAGTTGGTGTTGAACTCCTGAGCTCAGGCAATCCACCCACCTCAGCCTACCAAAGTGCTAAGAATACAGGTGTGAGCCACTGCACCTGGCCCGAATATCTATTTTCATGATGTAGCTTTCGCATTCAGAAATATGAAGAAATTTCCAGTCTATCTAATCTAGTAGACTAATGTCATTTTGAAAGAATTTATCAACAAACCACTCACTATTCAGGTTTAGTTATAACTGTTATATGGATAGCCAATGGACATTCCCTTTTTCTATCACTACAAAACTTAAGCTATTAATTATTATGCATTTATTTATTTATTTATTTATTTTTGAGACAGAGTCTCACTGTGTCACCCAGGCTGGGTGGCGTGATCTTGGTTCACTGCAACCTCCGCCTCCTGGGTTCACGCCATTCTCCTGCCTCAGCCTCCCAAGTAGCTGTCTCTTATACACATCTAGATGTGTATAAGAGACAGTTTTAGTAGAGACAGGGTTTCACTGTGTTAGCCAAGATGATCTCGATCTCCTTAACTCGTGACCTGCCGGCCTCAGCCTCCCAAAGTGCTGAGATTACAGGCGTGAGCCACTGCGCCCAGCCTTAATTATGCATTTATATAGTGCCTGCTGTGTAGGATAGTGATCCTCAAGGTGGGGGAAAAAGAGATCGCCTCTCCTTTACTGAGAAACGCCTTTAAGAGGACTAGTCTTACTGATTTGAATTATTATAACCCTCAGCCTTGATGTGAAAGAAAAAGTATATGTAGATTTCTATACCAGAACCTATGGACAGATACGATTTTTAAAAAAGATATAGTACTTCTAGAGGCAAAACAAAGATATTAATATCTTAGTATTAGCTTAATGTTATCTAAAATTAAAACATACTTACCTCAACAGCATCAGGTGTTCGACAATTCTGGTTTGATGCTCCTACACACTCTTTTACTGTGAGGGGATCTACAAGCCAAAGAGCTACTGTAGAAGGCCAGTTTCCTCCCAGATTGGACACGGTATTTAAAAGGGTCATGTATGTTCCTCCAATAAGTGGATCACTAACCTTTGCATTGAAAGCCATTATAGAAACATACATGCTGTACACTGTAACCTACAGGAAAAACGTAAAACATCTTTAGTATGATTATAAAGCTTATAAAGCTACAGTCTAAATTAAGAACATCAAAATCATAAACCTGAAAATTAACTTTCATGATATTTATTGAACTTAATTCAACAAATACTCATCAAGCACCTACTATAGGCCAGGCTTTAAGATCACAGCAATACAAAGATGTGACCTTGGTCCCTCTGTGACACTGAAGAATTTATTCTAGGCTGGAAAATAGGGAATAAATAATTATAAGTATAGGAAGTATTGTAAATAGAAGTGCACACATTGTGTTACTGGGGCATAAATATAAATGAGATTAATTATAGCACAAGTAGTCAAGAAAGACTCCACAGAGAAAATGTTAGATGAGGTGGCATTAAAGGATGCATAATGCACACCGCAAAATGCAAAACCTCCTATTTGTACTGTACCTAAATATATATCACATATTACATGTGTATATATACGTATTTATATGTATGCATTTATTATACATATAAATACTCAAATATTTAAAGAAATAGGAATATTTTCTCCTACATATACACAAGAAAAGTATTTCAAAATTTATGTGACAAACTGGAGAAAAACATCCTTAAGAGGCAAAAAGTACTTAAAAGGCAGGAAATAACCCTTAATTTAGAAAGATGGAAACAAACTGTGTTTCCATAATGGTATTCCTTTGAATATTGTTTTTGGAGGTGTTCACAGAAAAAGGAGTTCCAAAGTCAAATAAAACTGAAAGACATTAACTTACACAAAATTGGTTCATTTCATTGTATGCCTTTTGAAATCTTTACAACATAAACTCCTTGAGGGCAGGGATTTTGGCATGATTTATTCATTTACATTTCAGTACTCAGAATGGTTTCTGGCAGGGAATAGGTGTTCACTTAGTAATTGTTGAAGAAGCTGGGTGCAGTGGCTCACGCCTATAATCCCACCACTTTGGGAGGCCAAGGTGGGTGGATAATCTGAGGTCAGGAGTTCAAGACCAGCCTGGCCAATGTGGTGAAACTCCGTCTCTACTAAAAATACAAAAATTAGCTGGGTGCAGTGGCGCTCACCTGTAATCCCAGCTACTTGGGAGACTGAGGCAGGAGAATCACTTGAACCCGGGAGGCGGAGGTATTACAGTGAGCCGAGATCGTGCCACTGCACTCCAGCCTGGGCAACAGAGTGAGACTCTGTCTCAAAAAAAAAAAAAAAAATGTGTTGAAGGACTCATTAAGGCGCTACTTACAGAGGGCTTATGTCATACATCATTTCTCGAATTTACTTGGCCTTGTACCTTTTTTCCCCCATAAAGCATCTGGTTATCTCAGTTTCAGTGACTATGCTTCAGGAAATTCTCAAATGAAATACAAAGCTAAATAAATAGTTTTTGGGCTATAACCTACTGACAGAAATACTAAAGCATTGACTAGTTAAAGCACTTCTTCAACCTTCTATTATATGCCTAGCATTAACTAAGCATGTGCAAAACAGAAAAAAAATTATATTTGGCAGTCTGGCCTCAATAATTTTATAGGCATAGAATTTAGTCAGACATGACCCGCTATGGATTTCTCCTAAATGATTTACTGTATGCACAAAACTACTAAGATTACTTGGTAGTCATATTTTTAGGTTTCAGTTAAAAACTAAGTAATATATTAGCAAATACAACTTTCAAAGGATGTCAGCTAGAAAAATCCAAAGTGACTCAGAAATATGCATTAGCAATAACTGCAGTTAAGTCCCAAAGGTTATTTCTGGGCCTTTGCCATTTACTTGAGTCACTTGCATCCAGAACAAAATAATCCCATTCTGGGCTGTGCACAGTGGCTCACGCCTGTAATCCCAGCACTTTGGGAGGTTGAGGCGGGTGGATCACCTGAGGTCGGTAGTTCTAGACCAGCCTAACCAATATGGAGAAACCCTGTCTCTACTAAAAAAATACAAAATAAGCCAGGCATGGTGGCGCATGCCTGTAATTCCAGCTACTTGGAAGGCTAAGGCAGAAGAACTGCTTGAATCCTGGAGGCAGAGGTTGCAGTGAGCCAAGATCATACCATTGCACCCCAGCCTGGGCAACAAGAATGAAACTCTGTCTCAAAAAAAAAAAAAAAAGTCTCATGCTGCAACAGCAGCTCAGGCTAGAGCAAAGTGGGGATTCCTTCTTTTAGGGATTACAAACATATTTAAGAAAGAAAGAAAAAGCAGCTTGACACAGCTTTCAAAATCATAAAGAATAAGTCATAACTTTCAATATAGAAGCTAAGCCAGGGCCAGGCATGGTGGCTCATGCCTGTAATCCCAGCACTTTGGGAGGCCAAGGTGGGCGGATCACTTGAGGTCAGGAATTCAATACCAGCCTGGCCAATATGGTGAAACCCTGTCTCTACTAAAAATACAGATAATTAGCAGGGCGTGGGCAGTGGGCAAGCAAGCCAGACTCTGTCTCAAAAAAAAAAAGAAGCAGAAGCTAAGCCAGAAACTAGGGCCCTCTACTATTTCTCAATACTTTCAGAAAGAAAAGATATTAGGAATTCAAGAAAGAATGAACTGAAAGCTAGGGATAAACTAAGAAATACTTAGCAAGAGTAGAATTTGCTGGCTTTGGAATCAATTCTAAAATGTAACAAATACTTGTTGAATACATTTTTTTTTTAATCTTTCAGCTGGGTGCAGTGGCTCATGCCTGTATTCCCAGCACTTTGGGAGGCTGAGGCAGGTGGATCACAAGGTCAGGAGTCAAGACCAGCCTGGCCAATATAGTGGAACCCTATCTCTACTAAAAATACAAAAATTAGCCAGGCGTGGTTGCACGTGCCCGTAATCCTAGCTACTCAGGAGGCTGAGTCAGGAGAATCGCTTGAACCTGGGATGTGGAGGTTGCAGTCAGCCAAGATTGCACCACTGCACTCCAGCCTGGGTGACAGAGCAAGACTTCATCTTGGAAAAAAAACAAAAAAGAAAGTCTCTTTCTCTGAACCGAACTCATTAAGTGAAAAGTCATAAGGTTTAAAGCCCACTATCAATAATTTCTTCAGTGTCAGATTCATGCTTAAATCTTAAAATTTATTATCATTATGTTAAGGCAACTGTGTAAAGCTGTCTTCTTTATTTTACACAGAACAGTTTATTTCCTGAGAAAACCACAAGCTTACCTGATGTAAAGCATAACTCAGCAGGACTATGATATAGTAATATATAGGGAATCCCCCTTGATGTTCTACTTTAGGAGTCCACCAAACCAGTAGGGCATATTCTAACCCAAGCAATAATCTATAGAGAAAGAAACATTGAGTTGACTTCCATTTTAGCTTAAATAACAACAACAACAAAAACAGAAATCCATTTGCCTACCATATGAAAGAAGCTGAATCTAAACCTGTTAGGAGGTTAAAAAGATAAAAGCGCATATAAATAATATTGAAAAAAGATACTTTTCAAACCTTTTTCCATATATATAATTCTACACTCAGATATTAGTGATATTGATGAATGTTCCTCATTTTACCCTTTCTTATTTAGTAAGGTTTTATTTCATTTTTACCTGTAGGGCATGGCTTTGTAAAATGTGTTTAATGGCTGGGGACCTGCAGTGTATTTGCTGATAATCAGAGGCAGTATTATCTGCAAAGGAACCATTGGAACTGCCAATAAGGCTAAATGTTCTTTGGGTACTCCCTCTTCTACCAATTTCAGTCCTGTTACAGCATCTGCTGCTGAAAAACCAATCTGCAACATAAAAACAAAAAAGCATTTTAATTCGTGACTTATGAAATATTTTCCTCCACGCATATGTAAGTTCTTCAAGAACCTCAATTTTATTACTGACTCATGACAGTTACAAGTGAGCATCATATTATTATACCTGGTACAACAATCAAGTTATACAAGGTACATTTTGCCTTTTGGTTTTCTAATAATATCAAGTGAAAACACCTGAAAATTCAGTACTGGTAGGGGTTGTAGATGGCTATAAATACAATTAAATTTCCACTTCAAAAAGTCCAATCTGTTATAGTAAACAAGGTCAAAAATCCAAATTTACTGATTTGTAAGTTTTAGGTTTAAAAGAACTTAAGCCTTTAATTGACCCAAATAAATCTGGTTAAAATGATGCCATATATATATATACATTTTTAATGATTTCTGACTGACCATAATAAAATTTCCGAAGTACATCTTAATGTTTCAAAAGTAATTCTGAGAAAACATATCTGAGAGATTGAATAAAATGAGAGTGATAAAGTATAGTTAGATTAATCCTTAAAAATAGCACAAAAAAAGAATAAGAATTAAATTAAGATTATTTAGATAGCCTCAAAGTATCTCCCCATGAGTCAGTTTTTAATTACAAAAGAAAAAATAGTACTTTTACAATAGATTAGAAAAGCAATTAAAGTTAAAAACAACAGTTAAAGGGATAAAGAGACATGATATGGCTTTCAATATAATTCCCTGCAGACATCAAAACATTACTTCTTTGATCTTCCTGCCTTATATACCTGTATAACCTCAACTCAAACAAGAAGAAACATGGGAGAAATGTAACTAGAAGCCCATTCTACAGAATAATTGGCCTGCATTCTTCAAAAATGTCAAGGATATTAAGGACAATGAAAGGTCATACCAACTGAATCCAATGTGTGATCCTAGATTAGATCCCCAACCAGAAAAAAGTAAAGTTATGAAGACTACTATTATGTAAAATTTGGATATGGACTATAATTAGATAATAATATTATATCAATTTAAAATTTCCCGATATTGAGTTGTGGTTTTGTAAGCAGAAAACTTGTTCTTAGGAAATACATACTTAAGGTACTTATGGATAAAAGTGCACAATGTGTACAAATTACTCTAAAGTATTTCAGAAGACATATGTAATAGATATACATAGAAAGAGAAAATCTACAGAATAAGGAAAGTGGAGCTACATGTTAATAATTAGATAATCTGGATAAAGGATATAAAGGAGTTCTACCAACACATTTTCAAAAAGTGTGAAATTATATCGATACAGTAAGCAGAAAGAAATTATTTAGGCAGATAGTGAGGGCAAAAGAATCCTTGGCAGAGCTTCCCTTCTAACAAAAAGTAGCTCCCCAAATCATCTCTTTTCTAACAAAGAGCAGTCTGAAAAACTTGAGTCGCAAACATAGATAAGCAAGCTGGAAGCTTGCATGGGGGAATGCCAGCAGCTGCACCAACAGAAAAGGGCTACCTGGGAGGCATGTCCACCATGAAAGCTCCATCTTTTCTTTTTTGTTAGCATGTGTACAGTAAAAAAGAAATCGGCAACATGGTGCAGCTCAGGCAGAGAATCACCTGCATAATAAAAAATTAGGGTGGAGTCTGCCAGAAATTCGTGCCCTATGTAAATGGTGCACCTGGACCTTACCAGTTTTTCAGGCCCTGTTTAAATCAGACACCGCCTCCCCACTAGCTCATCTATAAAACCTCTTGCATTTCACCACAGATCTGGCAACACATTTTTCCAGGACACCTCTCTGTACCACAGAGCTATTCTCTTTCTCTCGCCTACTAAACTTCTGCTGTTAACCTCACTCTTTGTGTGCCCACGTCCTTGATCTCTGTGGCTGTGAGACAACAAACCTCAGGTACTACCCTAGACCACGAGGCCACTTCAGTATCACACAAATATTTAAATAATAATAATAATAATAATGCCAGGCACGGGGGCTCATGCTTGTAATTCCAGCACTTTGGGAGGCCAAGGTGGGCAGATCATGAGGTCAGGAGATTTGAGACTATCCTGGCCAACATGGTGAAACTCTATCTCTACTAAAAATACACAAACTAGCTGGGTGTGGTGGTACACGCCTGTAGTCTCAGCCACTTAGGAGGCTGAGGCAGGAGAGTCGCTTGAACCTGGGAGGTGGAGGCTGCAGTGAACTGAGATCACACCACGGCACTCCAGCCTGGTGACAGAGTGAGACTTGGTCTTAAAAAAAAAATAAAAATAAATAAATTATAAATAGTATACACTGTAACTTCTTGGAATAGAGCCAAATTTCACCATAAAAAAATTAAAGGTAACATATATTTCACTTAAGTACAGAAAATAATTTCACTTACATTTTATTCATTCTCTTTGTAAAAATAAGATATACAAACTGACTTTAATGTTTACTTTTAAAATGTTAAAAGTTAAAAGTCTTAAAAGTTACATAGTAGGAGATATTTGTAATACACATATCTAATAAAAGACTCAAATCCAAAATATATTTTAAAAAGTTTGGTCTGGCACAGTGGCTCATGCCTGTAAGCACAGCACTTTGGGAGGATGAGGCAGGAGGATTGCTTCAGCCCAGAAACTCAAGACCAGTCTGGGCATCATAGTAAGAACTCTTCTCTACAAAAACATATTTTTTAATTCACTGGGCATGGTGGTGGCACATGCCTGTACTTGGGCGACTGACGTGGGAGGATCACTTGAGCCCAGGAGTCAGGCCTGCAATGAGCTGTGATGGTGCCACTGCACTCCAGCCTAGGTGACAGATACCTCATCTCAAAAAATGAAATCTAAACAGAAACAAAAACTTTACACATTTAAAGAAAAGGGCAACTTTGGATATTCAAATGGTCAATAATCACATCAAAAGATGCTCAATTTCTTTTGTCATTAGGGAAATTCAAAATATGGCAATAACAAGATGGCATTACACAACCACCAGAAAGGCTAAAATTAAAAAGATAATATAGGCCAGGCGCAGTGGTTCACACCTGTAATCCCAGCATTTTGGGAGGCCAAGGCAGGCAGATCACGCGGTCAGGAGATCGAGACCATCCTGGCTAACATGGTGAAACCCTGTCTCTACTAAAAATACACAAAATTAGCCAGGCGTGGTGGTAGGCGCCTATAGTCCCAGCTACTCAGGAGGCTGAGGCAGAAGAATGGTGTGAACCCAGGAGGCGGAGCTTGCAGTGAGCCGAGATTGCACTCCTGCACTCCAGCCTGGGGGACAGAGTGAGACTCCATTTAAAAAAAAAAAAAAAAAAGATAATATATGTGTTTTCAAGGATGTGAAACAATCAGAACTCTCTTACACTGCTGATGGTAGGGAAAATTGGAACAACAACTTTGGAAAACTATTTGGCAGTACATAATACTATGCATTTTACATGAACCAGCAATTCTATTCCTATATATTTACCAATCAGAAATGTGCACCTGTCTTCACCAAAAGTCACATATGTGAATGTTTGTAGAAACACTACTCATAATAGCTCTAAAAACCTGTTGATAGAATGGATAAATTGTGGCATATTCATACAATGAAATACTATACAGTAATGAGATCAACAAACTACTGCTATAAATAAAAATATGGATAAATTGCACAAATAGAACATTGAGCAAAAGAACATATGCATCCAACATAAAAATACATATTGTATAGTCCATTAACATATAATTCAAAAGGAAAGAAAATTAATCTGTAGTATTAAAAATTAGGAGAGATGTTACTGGGGAGAATTTTAAAAGGAGAAAACAGTATTATAGACTTTGTAATTGAAATACCTCCTTATATATTGCTGCAGACAGTATAAACTAGCATAACCTTTTGAAAAGCAATTCAGCAATCATATCACATTCATTGACCCACTAATTGCCCACTTAATAATCTATTGGCCAGCCAGGCACAGTGGCTCACATCTGTAATCCCAGGACTTTGAAAGGCCGAGGCAGGTGGATCACATGAGGTCGAGAGTTCAAGACTAGCCTGACAGACATGGAGAAGCCCCGTCCCTACTAAAAATATGAAATTAGCTGGGCATGGTGGCGCATGCCTGTAATCCCAGCTACTTGGGAGGCTGAGGCAGGAGGAGCTCTTGAACCTGGGAGGCAGAGGTCGTGGTGAGCTGAGATTGCACCATTGCACTCCAGCCTAGGCAACAAGAGTGAAACTCCATCTCAAAAACATATATATATTTAAAAAAATAATATTAATCTATTGGCCAGCCTGTGTAGCAAAATGAGACCCCCATCTCTACAGAAAATTTAAAAATTAGTTGGGTGGGCCAGGCTCGGTGGCTCACGCCTATAATCCCAGTACTTTGGGAGGCCGAGGCAGGCAGATTGCCTGAGCTCAGGAGTTCGAGACCAGCCTGACCAAAATGGTAAAACCCTGTCTCTACTAAAAATACAAAAATTAGTGGGCATGGTGGTGCACACCTGTAATCCCAGCTACTCCAGGCGCTGAGGCAGGAGAATCGCTTGAACCCGGGAGGAGGAGGTTGCAGTGAGCGGAGATCACACCATTGCACTCCAGCTTGGGCAACAGAGCGAGACTGTCTCAAAAAAAAAAGTTTACTGGAAGGAAATGTCCAGAAAATCACAGACTTAAGCACAAAAATATTTGCTAGTGCATTTTCATAATTTAAAAACATAAGCAAAATATACAACAGAAAAATGAGTAGATGAGTAGATTATGGTAAATTTACACACTAACTATATCATGTAGCTACTAAGAAGTATGTTTTCAAATATGTAATGCTACAGAAATGTATAAGACAAAGAGAAGATAAAAAATTATATGCAGCATGATTCAATTCCACTTTTAAAGTAAATGAGTAAATAGGCCGGGCATGGTGGCTCACGCCTGTAGTCCCAGCACTTTCGGAGTCTGAGGCAGGCAGATCACTTGAGGTCAGGAGTTTGAGACCAGCCTGGCCAACATAGTGAAACCCCGTCTCTTCTGAGAATACAAAAATTAGCTGGGTATGATGGCGTGTGCCTGTAATCCCAGCTACTAGGGAGGCTGAGGCAGGAGAATTGTTTGAACAAGGGAGGCAGAGGTTGCATTGAGGGGAGATCATGCCACTGTACTCCAGCCTAGGCAACAGAGTGAGACTCAGTCTCAAAATAAAAAAAAAAAATAAAATATAAAATAAAAGAAAAATAAAAGAAAATAAAAGTATATGAGCAAATAAATATATGAAGTATATGTATACACACATACATGCACACACACATATACAGGGAAAAAAGGGAGGTTCAAAGGAAATATACCAAGAAGGTCAATACTGTTTTTTTTTTAATAAATTTGTTTTTGGGATGGAGTCTCGCTCTGTCACACAGACTGGAGTACAATGCGTGATCTCAGCTCAAGGCAACCTCCACCTCCCGGGTTCCAGCGATTCTCCTGCCTCATCCTCCTGAGTAGCTGGGCTTACAGGCGCCTGCCACCACACGCAGCTAATTTTTGTAATGTTAGTAGAGACGGGGTTTCACCATGTTGGCCAGGCTGGTCTTGAACTCCTGGCCTCAAGTGATCAGCCCATTTTGGCCTCCCAAAGTGCTGGGATTAAAGGCGTGAGCCACCACATCCAGCAAATACTGTATCTTAAATGATAAAATTATTAAGTGATATAATTAGATAATATTGTTTGGCCAGGTGGGCAGATCACCTGAAGTCAGGAGTTCAAGACCAGCCTGGTCAACAGGGTGAAACTCCGTCTCCATTAAAAATACAAAAAAATTGCCAGGCGTGGTGGCTCATGCCTGTAATCCCAGCACTCTGGGAGGCCAAGGGTGGATCACCTGTGGTCAGGAGTTCGAGACCAGCATGACCAACATGGAGGAACCCCATCTCTACTAAAAATACAAAATTAGCTCAGCCTGTGCCGGTAATCCCAGCTACTTGGGAGGCTGAGACAGGACAATCACTTGAACCTGGGAGGCGGAGGTTGCAGTAAGCCGAGATAGGGCCATTGTACTCCAGCCTGGGCAACAAGAGTAAAATTCCATCTCAAAATAAACAAATACAAAACAACTAGCTGGGCATGGTGGCACACACCTGTGGTCCCAGCTGCCCAGGAGACTGAGGCAGGAGAATCACTGGAACCCAGGTAGCAGAGGTTGTAGCGAGCCAAGATTGTGCCACTGCACCCAGCCTGGGAGACAGAGTAAGACTTTATCTCAAATATATATATGTGTGTGTGTGTATATATATATATATAGTTATGCTCCTTGAACTTTTCACATTTTCTGAATTTCCTATTCTTTTTTTTTTTTTTTCCTTGAGACCCCTGTCTCAACAGAGAAACAGACCCCTGGCTCTGTTGCCCAGGCTGGAGTGCAGTGGCACAACTACGGCTCACTGCAAACTCCACCTCCTAGACTCAAGCTATCTTCCTACTTCAGCTTCACAAGTAGCTAGCACTCCAGGCATGTGCCACCGTACCCAGATAATTTTTTTATTTTTTGTTTCGCCATATTCAAGCTGGTCTTGAACTCCTGAGCTCAAGAGATCCTCCTGCCTTGGCTTCCCAAAGTGCTGGGATCACAGGCATGAGCCAGCCCATCTGGCCTTCTATCATTAAGAGGAAAAAACACTCACTATTTAAAATGAATATAATGAGGCTAAAACGGTTCCTTCAAAGCTGTCAAAAGATAGGTGTAAAGTGTTTATGTACATAGATTTAAGTATATAAAATGAAAATCCTATAAGATTGCAGATTTTAGAAATATTAACTCCAACACTAGCAATAGTTCACTGTAACAAAATATACTTACCTTTATTCTAGCCTAACGTGTTAAAAATATTTTTAAAACTATAAAACTGAGACATCTTAATATAGAATAAAAGTCACCAGTAATCCCCATTTCTCTTATGGTATAATTTTCCTTTCAGTACTTAAATAATTCAATGGATTTTTTTTAAGTTGACTTCTAATACTCATATACTTCTGTATCTATCTATCTATCTATCTATCTATCTATCTATCTATCTATCTATCTATCTATTTTTGAGACAGAGACTCACTCTGTCGCTCCAGTTAAGAGTGCCATGGTGCAATATCGGCTCACTGCAACCTCCACCTCCTGGGTTCAAGCGATTCTCCTGCCTCAGTCTCCCAAGTAGCTAGGACTACAGACACGTGCCACCATGCCTGGCTGATTTTTGTATTTTTAGTAGAGACAAGGTTTCACCATGTTAGCCAGGCTGGTCTTGAACTCCTGACCTCACGTAATCCGCCTGCCTTGGCCTCCCAAAGTGCTGGGATTACAGGCGTGAGCCACGACGCCTGGCCCTATATCTTTACATCACACTCTAAGTAAATAATTGTATTACTCCAACATTAAATGTATACTGATTATAAGGCAGAGCTATTGATTATTGAAGATATTAATCTCCATTCCAAGCATTAATATCATTAAGGTCCACATTTACTAACAGTTCTTCAAATTGACATAATTCTTTACAATACTCCAAGATATTTAGCTTACTTTAAAATTAAAGTTGATATCATTGTATCTTTTCAAATACATTTAATAAACAGAAAATATTGTTTTTCATTGTTAAATTCTAATGGTAGTGGAAAGGGACCTGTGATATGAAAAAGACACTGAAAGTATTCCATGATATTGATACTTATAAGAAAATGATAAATTTGATTTATAAATCTCTTACCTTTGCAGTTAGAATCAGAAGGCAAAATGTCAGAACTGCTGGCATTTTTATAATTGCAAAAAGCAGCTTGTAAGTATCTGTGATTCCTTGTGTTTCTTCTTTTACTACTGATACTTCTTTGTTTTCTTTTTTCAGAAGGGCAACCAATGTTGTTGTTATTAAAAATACAGTTCCCCAGAAAAAAAGGAAATCTGAAAATGTTTTAAATCTATAATTAATTTAATTTACATAATTTCATTGATACTAAATAATTCTATATACAGTAACTTTCAACTAAAATGTTATTTAAAAAATTAGCCAAGTACAGGGGCTCATGCCTATAATCCTAGCACTTTGGGAGGCCAAGGTGGGAGGATTACTTGAACTCAGGAATTCAAGACCAGCCTGGGCAATATAGTGGGACCCTATCTCTACAAACAATAAGAAATTAGCCAGGCTTGGTGGTGCACATCTGTAGTCCCCCATACCTGGGAGGCTGAGGACTACTTGAGCCCAGGAAGTAGAGGCTGCAGTGAGCTGTGATTGTACCACTGCACTCCAGCATGGGCAACAGAGTGAGACCTTGTCTTAAAAAAAAAAAAAAGTCAACATTTAGGTACCTCTTTATTATATTCAAGGCATTGTACCAGACACAGCAAATGAACAAAAGAGTCCTGACTCTTAAACGTAGAGACCCAAAATAGACAGTGACAGCAACAACAAAAAAGGCAGGGGGTGGCGGGAGTGGAGGGCATTACATTTAGTGTACAACTGAGTTGAATGAACAAAAGCCTATCATGTCACTTTATTCAAGGAAAATGCTAGGGGTGGGAAACGATTTTCATATCCCCTAAGGTACACCAGTTATATTTCTTATACACCCAAGCCTTTTCAGTTCTTCATTAAATTTGACAACATGCGATTATTTACATCAGATTTTCTACCTTGTATTTTTAAACTTTCTAAGGCTTTCAATCTGTTTAAGAATAACCTTCGCATCTCAATACTATGATACAAAAGGCATTTGCTCACACTCGTAGGTGCAGAATGAGGACACATGAAGAGTACTGTTTGAATTGTTTCAGTGAAAGATAGTTGAGCCATTAGCTATCACCTTGAACAAATTTAGTGGAGGGAGTGAATAAAGATCTGGAAGATTCTGCTAAACAGCTAAAAATAATAGTAATAATGGAGATATCATTTATGACAAAAATATGCTACGCATTTTACATGTATCAACTCCTTTACTTCAACAACCCAACAGATTAGGTTATCACCAGTCCAAATTTACAGGTGAACAAACACAGGTTTAGGGAGGTCAAGCTGTCCAAGTTACATTCTAAGTCAGTGGTAAAATGCTGATTTCACACCTTATAAGTACAACTAATTTCAAAACTTGTATCTCATTAACCACCCTGAGAATTGCATTTTAGTTTGCCACTAGAAAACTTATTAGATAACCCTGTCTCAGTCTCTTCATCTGTAAAATAAGAAGATTTGGCTAGAAAATCCTTGCATTAGAGCTTAAACATTCTAGACTTGTACTCCATTTTAGATGTTTTTACTTTTGATTTTATGGTGTATGTGGCACAACTGATCAAGGACCCTAGTCACCTCTTTTCAAAAACAATTAGAATATTCTTCAGTCAGGGTATTTCTTTAGATTGAATCTTGCTATTGCTGCTGTGCTCACTGAAGGTGATCACTACAGTTTGAACCTCATTTATGAGGGAGAAATACAGCATTATTTGTTTAGATCAATTTCACCTTGGTATTTAAATATTCCTTTCTTATATGTTATCTCATTTGATTCTCACAGCAAACAGAATAGGCTAAGCATGTGTTATTACTATATACAGATGAGGAAAAGAAACTCAGAACACTTAAATCTTTACCAAAGGTAAAATCACTAACAGGCAGAGGCGGAGACAGAGCTTGAATCTCAACCTTCTGAAGTTGAGTCTTACGTTCTTTCCATATTTTATACTGCCTAATAAAGATATATATATATATATATATTTTGGAGACGGAGTTTCACTCTTGCCAGGCTGCAGTGCAGTGGTGCAATCTCAGCTCACTGGAACCTCCACCTCTCGGGTTCAAGCGATTCTCCTGCCTCAGCCTCTGGAGTAGCTGAGATTACAGGCATGTGTGCCATCATACCCAGCTAATTTTTGTATTCTCAGCAGAGACGGGGGTTTCACCATGTTAGTCAGGCTGGTCTCGAACTCCTGACCTCAAATGATTCTGTCTGCCTTGGCCTCCCAAAAAGCTGGGATCACAGGTGTGAGCCATCATGCCCAGAATAAAATAACATCTTAACATAATTTCTAGCATTTTGGAATCTGGTTCAAAAGGAATGAACAACAATGTATTAATAACATTATACTTGTAAGTGAGGCTAATGTCCACTTTTTTATTTTTTAGTTTAAGTAATAAATGTTTAAGCAAAGAATTTTACATATTATTAACAGCATTCACTTGGCATGTCCACTATTTTTGCATTCTTACTTCCATCTGCAAAATGAGATTAATAATGACTTGTTTACAGTTTCACGTACAATATTATTCTCATTGAGTAGGGTTTTGTTCATCATTTGTTTTAAAACAGTTGTTTAACAAGCCCTGAAAAAAAATAATTTTCACTGTCACCAGAAATTCAGATTAATGTTAAGTGAAAAGTAAAAGTTTTCCAATTATATAAGACTTAAAGAGTTCCATTTTTTAAGGCAAAAGAAATGAAAATTTATTTAGCATAGTCTACCAATTTTAATAAACACAGTCCATCTAAAATTTAAATTCCTTGATACCAAGAGAAAAAAGAAGAAGAAACTAAACAAGTTTCAGCAATGTTTGCAGATAAGATTATTTCTTTTTTTAGTTTTTTGAGACAGGGTCTCACCCAAGCTGTAGTGCAGTGGTGCCAACTTGGCTCACTGCAGCCTTGACCTCCTAGGTTCAAGTGATCCTCTTGCCTCAGCCTCCCAAAGTGTTGAGATTACAGGTGTGAGCCACCGTACCCAGACAAAGATATTTCTAATTTCTTTGTGCTTTGAGGAGAAAATACATAAAAAGAAGGAAGTAGTGACAATGGTTCAGTCACAAAGCCCTAATTCAAAGGATTTCCATATCTCACACATGCAGAAGAATGAAAAAGCCAATAGCTCAGAGAGGCCAGGAAATATATTAAGAAGTTTTATGAATACAATTACCACAAATCAGACCAATGCTAATAACTGATAGCCAGTAGTCTTATTAAACTTATTAACATTGCTTTGATGCTAGAGACATCCATAGACTATTATGCCAACAACCATAAAGAAACATTATTACCAAAAATATGGAAATATTTCATTATTAACATTTTGGTTAGTTTTGATTTATATATTTTACCATTATTACCAAAAATATTGAAATATTTAATCATTAACATTTTAGTTAATTTTGATTTGTGTATTTTATAAACTTAAGCATACATGGTATATATATGTATGATCAAGATATCAAAGCTGATGTTCAAGTTTTATAAACATGATTTTTGAGCAAAGACCTAAAAAACAGACTAAATATTCTGAAGTGGCTCCACGATCTTGTCCAGTGCTTTCATGAATGCAGAAATTAAGAGCATGTAACAATTCATTAGTAACCAATAAAGGTACAATAGCTAGCACCTGAGTGTCTATTATAAGATCTAAGAAAAACAGAGGACATCTCATTTAAATCCCAAAATCACTTCCCAAAATAGGCATTATTACTCCTACTTTATATACAAGGAAACAGAATCACAAGCCAGAAAGTGCCAGAAATGGCATTCAAACTCCAGTCTAGTTCTAAAGCAAGAAATGTTTTCCACTATATCATCCAGATACTCAGATACGCCCACAGCAAGTAAGCTCTCTTTTCTATCAACTGGACACCACTGAGAAAAAAGGTTCATATTTTAGCTCCAACCATGAGGTCTGGAACACAGATACTTTCTCCACACTTCTTCTTTTTTTTTTGAGATGGAGTTTCACTCTTTTTGCCCAGGCTGCAGTGCAATGGCACAATCTAGGCACATCGCAACCTCCGCCTCGCGGGTTCAAGTGATTCTCCTGCCTCAGCCTCCCAAGCAGCTGGGATTCAGGCATGCACCACTAACCCAGCTAATTTTTGTATTTTTAGTAGAGACTGGGTTTCTCCATGCTGGTCAGGCTGGTCTTGAACTCCTGACCTCAGGTGATCCACCCGCCTTTGCCTCCCAAAGTGCTGGGATTACACGCGTGAGCCACCGTACCTGGTTCCCACGCTTCTTTAAACTGGCTACTTGTATTTCCCCTTCTCACCTCCATCTCCCCATATGGTGATATGCCAAAGAAAATTTAAATGCACAGGATAAACAAACTTGGTGTGTCTTCCTAAAGAATTCATTTTACTCAATAAATTATAGGGAGATGACATTAATGAGAATAAACAGGCTGGGCACGGTGGCTCACGTCTGTAATTGCAGCACTTTGGGAGTCCAAGCCAGGTGGATCACTTGAGGTCAGGAGTTCAAGACCAGCCTGGCCAACATGGCGAAACCCTGTCTCTACCAAAACTACAAAAAGTAACTAGGCATGGTGGCGCATGCCTATAATCCCAGCTACTTGGGAGGCTGAGGCATGAGAACTGCTTGAACCCAGGAGACAGAGGTTGCAGTGAGCCGAGATTGCACCACTACACTCCAGCCTGGGTGACAGAGCAAGACACTCTCAAAAAAATAAAAAAGGAATACAGCTTGTCTTTCTGAGAACATAGGGTAACATTTTAAGCCTAGACATGAATGCTAAATAATGTATTATAGCCTATATAAGAATACCTGGTCTATCTAGAAAAGGGTCAATTAGTCTTTTCCAAATTCTAACAGGCATTTTGAGTCATAAATTATGTGTTATGAAAGCAGGACAAAGAAATCTGTCATCAGGTAGGAATTAATGGTTCCTCTCTCTAAAGCATCAATGTCTTACAAACACTGTTTTTATTGTCATTAGTTTGGTTAGATTCATACTCACAGTATCAACTTTTTCAAAGCAATACTTTCTCTTATTTATTCCTGTATGTGCATGCCTATTTATAAACAAACTGATTTATAAACTCTAGTATCTTTAGCTCTCTTCTCTGGCATTAGACCATCTTGCTCCCTGCTCCTAAACCCAAATATGCTGCTCCCTATTCCAATCACTTCTAATTGTTACTACTTATGCTAGAGGGAGAGGGCCTCAACTATGAGTTTACAGGCTAGATGTGGCCTGAAGACATAAATTAGATTAGATAGATGGCAGATAGATAGATAGATTAGATAGATTTTTTTAAAAAGATGGGTCTTGCTAGGTTGCCCAGGCTGCAGTGCAGTGGTTATTTACAGACACTACTGTAATGCACTGCAGCCTCGAACTCCTGGCCTCAAATGATCTTCCCATCTCAGTCTGTCAAGTGGCTGGAACTACAGATGCATGCCACTCTACAGATGCGTGCCACTGTGCCCAGCTAAAGACATGTTTTTATATGAGCCTAAGAAGTGTTTTTAAAATCAGGAAATAAAAAGGAATTTCTAGTTTCTCTTGAATACTCCTAAGATTTAGCAATCGTGCCGGGTGGGGTGGCTCACGCCTGTAATCCCAGCACTTTGGGAGGCCAAGGCGGGCGGATCACGAGGTCAGAAGATTGAGACCATCCTGGCTAACACGGTAAAACTCCGTCTGTACTAAAAATACACAAAATTAGTCGGGTGTGGTGGTGGGCGCCTGTAGTCCCAGCTACTCGGGCGGCTGAGGCAGGAGAATGGTGTGAACCCTGGAGGCAGAGCTTGCAGTGAGCCGAGATCGTGCCACTGCACTCCAGCCTGGGTGACAGAGTGAGACTCCATCTCAAAAA